TATGGGATACCTGTACCAGGTATCACACAAGTGGTATAATTTCAACCTCCCTACAGCTCTTTTATAGAAAGGCTCAGAGATTGTCAGTAACTTGCCTTATGTTCCGTAGCTTAGAAATGGCAGCAAAAAAGATTCAAACCTAGGCTTGGCTGACTCCACAGTTCATACTCTTTCTACTGCCCATACTAGTCTGAAAGGCCCCTCAACCCTACCTGCGCTGCTCAGTTTGCCAGGCATTTTGCTCACATCCATTTACAGTACGAGTATGGATGTCTCTCCATCTATCCCTTCATCTCTTGGCAGTCATTACCCACATGCTTGTCTTCTGGAGAGCTCAGCAGTGTATACATATAGAGGACACTGAAGAATTCCTTTAGGCCCATACTTGCGTAAGTAAGAGTATTTAGAAGTAAAAATTTAAGACAGTGGTTTCCTCTAAGGGAGAAAGTAGGATTGATGTCTTATTTTTTAAGCTAGATGGTGAGTACTCAGTTATATCTTGTGTTGTTTCTTTTTCTTATTTCCTTTTAAGTTAAAAAAAAATTTCCAGTGCCATTTCCGAGGCCTTCTATTGGGCCGCAACCCAAGTGGTTTTTTTTTTGAAGGGCCTGGGGGTAAGAGTATTAGTGCCCACCCACCCCCCATGCCAGGCCTCAGGAATTTAGGCCACTTCTAATAGGTGTCTAGAAACTCCTCCCATTGGCCCATCTGCAGGAGACAGAGCACAGAGCTTTCTGTGAGCTGGGAGTGGAGACTTGGCGCCTATGCCCTCCAAAGCATCAGATCTCTCTGATGATGAATGAAGCCTCCTGGGGAGAGTGGGCTACAGCTGCAGACAAAAGGGGGCAGGTGACAGGAGGCACAATTTGCCAGCTAATTCCCCTTTATTGGGAAAATATTAGGCAGCCAGCTCCTTTGGAGGGGAGCGGTGTCAATATTGTCTTTAATTATACCACCCAGTGACGCTGATGCTCCCTACACTCCTTCAGTTCTGCTGACTCTGTACACATCATTCTCCTGATTACAAACGCTCAGTTCAAGGAAAACCCTTCTCCACCCTGCTGCAAACCTGAGGCCAGAGAATGCCTTAATTCTGAACCGAAAGTGGGAAATACCCCTCTCCACAAAGCGGCTCAGGCTAGATGGGCTGAAGGTGGAAGGGACTGGACTCCCTGTTCTACCACTGTCCCCTTCCCGACCACACACAGGAAGAGGGGAAGCACCTGGCCTTCTGGGCAGAGGTCAAAGACCCTGGGCACCTGGGGCAATGGGGTAGGGGGCGGTGACAGAAGAGCTGCAAAAGGCATGAGCACATGGCCCACTACTGCAAAAGGGAGCCTGGCATGAGACTATGAACATTGCTACCAGGATCCCAAGACCCATAGCTCTGCTCCTATCTATGTGACTTCCACCAAACCACTTCGCTTTTCTGGGTTTTGGTGAACTCATTTGTAAGATGGACATTGCAGTAGTTACTTCTCCCACAGGGGTCATAGTAAGATTAAATGAAAGAATGTGAGTTAAAGATCATATTCACAGGACATTGCGAATACTCCTTTGGGTTGCCAGACCACCTTACAGACGGGCTCAGGCCTTATCCATGTCTTATCCCGTAGCAGACTGTCCCAGTCCCTTTGTCATTTCATTCATTAAACGTGTTGAATTCCTACTATGTGCCAGGCAGTGGCAGAGTTCTATAACCGTTTCATTCCCAAGCTGAGCTCACTGGTTAATTCAAAAAATATTTATTGAGCAGGTATGTGCCTGTCCCTCGGTAGGTACTACGGATTTTAAAAGGAATTAGACCCACTACCTGCCCTCATGGTCCCTGGTTGGCACAAAGGTTAAGCCCTCAACTACTAGTTGAAAGGTTGGCAGTTTGAATCCACCCTGAGGTACCTCGGATGATAGGCCCGGCGATCTGCTTCCGAGAGGTCATAGCCTTGAAAACCCTATGGAGTGCAGTTCTACTCTGCACACAGGGGGTTGCCATGAGTTGGTATCGACTTGATGGCAACCAACAACAACCTGCCCTCATGAGTGTCTGGGGAGACAGAAGCATAAGTTAGTCGAAACAGTAATAGGAGACTACGGAAGCTCGGGGAAGCTTCTGGGAGTATCCCCAAGCTGGGCACAGAGGGATGAATCGGCAGTAGCCAGAAGCAGGCTGCTGGGAAGTGTTCACAAAGGAGGAAGTAGGTACCAAGGCCTCAGTTGGGAAGGCGGGCGAGCTGTCCTTTTCTCTCTCCCTCCCAGGCTGAAGTCTTCCAAAGGAGTCATTCTTCTCCCTGAACGGCAGCAGGGCTCCCTGGAGGGCACCAGGCCAATGCCCCCAAGCAGACAGGGCACGTGCACACACACCAGCACCTCAGAGCCAGAGAGGAAACCAAGTCAGCAGGTAAAAATTATACTTTTATTTGAGTCACCAGGAGAAAGATTCACTTGCGTTCAAGTCAAATGTTCAGAATAACAGGCCAGAGAGATTTGATCCCAAGCACAAGCCCACAAGGGAGGGGACCAAAACAGACCAAAAAAGACAACAACCCCATATAAAAAGATGAATGGACGGCATCACATACACGGATGAAATGTTTGGACAGAGGCAAATTTCACATGGTCATTTGTTTCTTTTTGAATACAGGTTTGTGGGGTGGTATTTTTTTTTCCCAGCTATTAAAATAAAAAGGCCCAAAAGTGCATATGTGAGGGGAAAAAGGCAGAAAGTAAGCAATAGTATTCCCTGGAGGGACATGAGGGAGAAAACAGGAAGCAGTGCTGGGAGAATTCACTTTTCTCACTATTGGGCTTCTTGCATTTTATTATTGGTCCGCTGAAGTTATATTCACGTTCTAGCTTTGATGCAACTTCTTTCCTGGGATTAGATTTTGGCTAAAAGACCTCTGTGAACTGTAAGAAAAGACCAGGGACTCCGCCCAGCCCTCAGGGTTCTGTGCTCTTCTAGGGATGGAAAGTTCTGGTAAGGAATAAGGACTCCCAGCAGACCCTGGGTCCCTCAGCACCAGTGTGACAGTCCCTCCTCTATCTGGGAGTGTGTAAGAAAACGTCCCCTCTATTTTTAGCACAGGAGGAGCACAAGGGCAGTCACCAAGATTCCAACGGCTGCCTTGTCTTGTTTTGGAAGGAAAATTAAGCTGAATGAAAACAGGTTGCTTCTTGTCCTCGAAGCCCTCCCTGTGAGGGGAGGTGGAGCTCCTCCCACCCACTCACCCTCCCAACCCCAGGTCCTCCTGACAGATGTGTCCCTGTCCTTTGGTCCCAGAATCCACATTGTGCTTTGAGATCAAGAGGAAATGGAATGGACCAGCCTCCCCCAAGGCTCCCAAGATTGCTTCCTCTCTGCTTCCCTCACCCCTCAAACTGCCCAATATAAGACGTTTCTCCTGGCCTCATCCCCATCCAAAAAGGGAAAGGGGATTGGTCAGGCAGGGGCTCCTTCCCAGCAGTCATTTCCTAAACCCTCAGATTTGGAGAGAATATTCCCAAATCAACTAACAAGCCATTTATAAAAACACCTGTGATGACTTAGTTGGATATGTCCTCAACACCTACAGGTTACCTCCCTCACCAAAGGCCCTGCACAGTACAAGTATGCAAAGGGACAAGATGTTAACTGTAGGGCTTGGTTGGCCTCAGGGTGATGATAGTGGGGTGGGGGGGCAGAAGGGTGACAGGAAAACCCAGAGATGAATAAAGCCAGGCAAGGGTTGTCACAGCCGCCAATGAGCAGAGAGAAGGAACTTGAACATAGCACCATCTTTCCCTTCCTCATCCCAGAGTCTGTGCTTCCAGTTATGTAGCCCTGGGACACTCTCCCTCTGCTTCAAGGAGGCTTTATGGAAGCGAGGGAGAGGCCTGAGGGGAGAGCCCACAGAATGAGGCACCCAAGAGGAAAGTAGTTTTCTACCCAAAGAACACAGAAGGACTTTGCTCCCCAGGGCCCTCCCCCTCACTGTGGGTTTTGAGGAGAATATCAGGAGACAGCGGCTCCAGGTGCCCTCACAGGTACCCACCTGCACATAACCTGAGACAACTGCAGACACACCCCTTTGCCCCCCTTTCTCACACTCACACACTCACCTTTCACAGACACCTACAGGCACACACGATCCTTCCTCCCCACATATGAGGTCCTGGAGACACACAGGTTCCTGCTGGCTTTGCATAGCGCCAAGTCCATTTGGCTTTGGGCCAAGACAGAAGGCTATGGAAGGCTCTGGCCATCTTCCCATGAGGAGCAGGGAGGAGCAGTCCATCTAACCCTGATCATAGGGAGCTGGAGATGGCATGGGCAGAGAGGCCCCAAGTCTTCCTTGCCCCACCCTTCAGGACTATGGGCTTCTGTCAAGGAAACAAGCAAGGGTCCCTAGAGATTGAGGGTAGGAGGGAGGAAAAAGGGCTGCAGGAGAGAACACCCTGTTCTCCTCCTTCATCACAGCTGTCCCTAAAATTAAGAAAGGCAAGAACTTGACCCAAGCCATGCTTCCCAGAGAGCTTTTCACCTACACCAGGCTTGCGTGGGTAGGAAGGCAAAAATCACAGTATGTGAAGGAACACATGTGGGGAGCGGGATGCTTAAACCCAACGGGGAGCGGGGTGCTTAACCCCAACACAAGAACTTTACCCTCCTTTTGTTGCCCTTCAGAGAGGGAGACGGCGGTGAGGGAGACCCACTGGTGAGCCAGCAGCCCCACCTTTGAGAAGCAGAGAGGTAAGTAAAGCCCATCGCACTGGTCCCTACACAACAGCAGTCCCCCGTCCCCATCCCAGAGGCAAGGGGGTGGGGTTCCACTTCCCGAAATGTGTGGAGCCCCTCCCCCTGGGGATCCTGGGGCTCACCAGAGTCCTGGAATGTTTAGGTGTGTGAGGGGGTGGGCAGGAGGGTCTAAGGGGGCAGAAAATAGAAAAGGCCTCTGAGGCCTGCCCCCTATTCCAGCCCAGCCCTGCAGGCCACGCGCTCTCCAGAGAAGCCCACACCTGTTCCATCCCGAGAGGAAAACCCAGAAGTTGGTCAAGGGGAAAACCGGCCAGAGGAAGGTGCCTGCAGGAGCGGCAGAACAAGGCTTCGGTTGGCAAAAGAAGCTGGGGTTGGGGGGAGGGCGGGAAGAAACAAGCTGTTGCAGATTTAAAATAACAGAGACTCCTGAGGGGCGGACAGACGGACAGCCGCCTCAGGATGGATGCGATGCTGTGGAATGCACTGAAGACAGAGGGTGGGGCAGGGGCCAGCCAGGCTCAGATGGCCTCCACGTAGTTGGCTGGCAGCATGCCCGTGTCGCCGGTGCGCTCCACGGTCCCGTACATCCAGCCGTCATCGATCTGCTGCACGTTGACGATGGTGTCCCCATCCTGGAAGGAGACCTCGTCCTCATCAGCTGCGCTGTAGTCATATAAGGCGCGGTACCGCTTCTGGGGGAGGGAGCACAGTCAGCCCAGCGCCATGGAGCCATTTCTTTCTGCCACTCTGGGACCCCCGGTAGAGCCCTGGATAAGCAGTGAGCCAAGAGTTGGGAGACTAGGGCTGGGCTTTGCCACAAATTTTCTTAGGTTACTTAACCTCCAAGTGTCTCACTTTCTAAGAATAAGCACACTTTTGACAATGTATTTAGCATCTGCTATGAAGGAGCCAAGGAGCCCTGGTAACACAATAGTTAAGAGCTTGGCTGCTAACTGAAAGGTTGATGGTTCAAACATTCAAACCCACCAGCAGCTCCGCGAGAAAAAAACACCTGGCAATCTGTTCTCATAAAAATAACAGCCTAGGAAACACTATGGGCACTTCTACCCTGTCATATAGGGTCACTATGAGTCAGAATCGACTCGATGGCACTCAGCAACAACATGGGCCAGGTACAAGATAGGTGCTGAGGTTACAGTCAGTTCTGTCCCATCTCCCAAACACCAATGCAGTCAGGTTCAATGGACACGACGCCAGGGAAATATTTTTAAAAGATGGAATGCCCTATAAACCATTGTTTTTATTATTATAAACACCAGCATTTTGTTTTTGAAGCTGTGGTGAATCTAGCTTCTCTCCCAAGTCAGAACAAAGACCTTTTCTTGGGAGAAAAATCTCCAGGTGACACAACAGGTGTCTAACAGGTTCTACCTTCCAAACCTCAAAACTAAAAAACCCATTTCCAGCTCTAGGAAATGTCCAGTAAGTGCACATGGAATCCACCAGTTGTCTCGGAGGTGGGCATCTGAGTCTAACATTCCCTGACCTTCACTGGTTTGGCATTGACTTGTCTCTGGGTTCAGCTTAGCCTTTGTGGCCCCCAAGTCAGGCCCTGGGATCTGTGTGGGGTGAGGCAGCGGGGCAAGCCCCCCAGGAACCTCCCCAATCTGCCCCCACTCCCCAACCCCACTGCTGGGACCTGGGAAGGGAGGGTCTCTGAATCCAAAGGCCTCATCTTATAGATGAGAAACAGAGATGTCACTTGACTTGCTCAAGGTATACCCCAGGCCAGAACTCAGGGCTTCAATCCCAGACCAGGGCCTTGACCACTGCATCACACTTCCTCTCAGCTCAATGGGCTGAGATCCCCATTACCAGCAAATGGACAACAGGCACCTAGGTCAAAGGTCAGGAGAAGCCAGGCCTCCTGCGTGGGGTTTCTAAGGAAAATCCACAGGCTATGTCCACGAGGCCTCCCTGAGGCCTACCACCTCTGACCTCTAGGATCTCTCCCCACCTCCAAGATGGCTACTCACCCCGCCACCGCCTGGGGCGCTGCGCTGTACGGAGAACGGGGCTGCAGGCTCCTTGTAGCCACTGTAGGACTGGGCCATCTGCTGTTGCTGGGGCTGCTGGTAAACTGGAAGACAGGTGGAGACAGGGCCTCAGAAACTGTCCTGTCAATCCCTCCCTCCATGAAGCCCACATCACATATTTCCCCCTGAGGCAAACTACACCTTGCAAGCCTCATCCTACCCCCCTCAACCTGTGGTCTACCACCCTTGCTCAACCTCCACTTCTCGAAGGCTTATGTCTATGTGTGCAAATTTGCATGTGCTGTGGATTCTCCAGCAGGGACTATGTCCCCAGCACACAAGGACCTCCCAGGTGGGGCTGTGTGCCCCCATCACACTGGGGGCCTGCCTTTCTGCTCCCCTCGCCCCAGCACAGGCCTGACCTCAGTTCTCACACCCTTGGTGGGATGGCACCTGGGGATTCAGAAGCAGTGGTCCACCTGTGTGTAGACAGGGCTTCTCTCCAACCTCCCTCCCACCTGTCTGCCCCCACAGGCTGGCCCTCACCTGGGGCGCTGGTCGAGATGTGGTGCGGCGGCTGCTGCTGATGCTCCTGGGGCCGCCGGTAGCTGCTGCTATCCTGGGAATCCCTGCGCTCCGGCTCCATGCCCTCGCCCCCACTGGGGCCCATGCGGCTCTTCTCAAACTCCTCGTGGTATTTTATCTACAGGAGCAGAAGGTGCTGGGTGAAGGATCCCAAAGCAAACCAACGTAAGTGCCCCTCCTGTCACTGCTCAAGACCCTGGGATGGGAGAGACTCCCTGAGGGGGTAGTTGGGAAGACAGAGCTTGCTGAATTTAGAGCCTCACACCTATTCCCAAAGCCCATAGGACAGTGCTGTGATATATATATGGCCAGTGTCCCCCACTGGGCGGCAGCTCCTGGAAGGTGGTGAAGGAGCCTATCTTTCTGATTCCCAGGTCCAGTCCTTGGCCTCCCACGGCACTGCACACCCCAGGCACTTGGCAGGGGCTGGCCGAATTAAACAAACCAGAACCCTGGAGACTCTATAGAGCTGGGTTTCTTTATCTTTGGACCAATTCTTTCTGAACTGCCTGGGTTGCTTGTTACAATGCAGGTTCCAGGGCTTCCACAGACTCTATAGAATCAGGGCTGGGGTTATGGAATACGCATTATTGAAAAGCTTCCTCGGTGCGTGTGAAGCAGGCCCAAGTTTGAGAACCAGTGGTCTAGAGCAGAGGTCAGCAAACTATGGTCCATGAGCCAAATCTGTTCACTGCCTCTTTGCATAAGGTCCATGAGCTAACACTAGCGTCTATATTTTTAAATGTTTGAGGAAAAACAAATCAAAAGAATATTTTGTGACAAGTGAAATTTCTAAGAAATTCAAATTTCAGTGTCTATAAGCAAAGTTTTATTGGAACACAGCCACACTCATTCATTCACCTATTACCTATGGCTACTTTCGTCCTGCAACAGCAAAGCCGAGTACAATCATGAGTCATCTAACACCCGTTCCCGCAGTGTCCGACCGCATGTATGTCCATGGTCCCATAAGGTTATGACAGAGTTCAGACATCCTGATCAGGGGACAGGACGTAGTGAACACAACAGCTTCCCGCGCGCAACACACGAGTCTCATGTCTCTTGTATACAAAGCGATTGCGCTCCCAGGTACACTACAGTATCCCATATGGCTTTGCTAAGCATATAATATGGTGTTTGCACAACATCCGAATCACATACCATCCTATTTCCTTATCGTGCCCATTAAGCGAGTATGACTGTACTTGCAGCAGAGACCGTATGGCCTACAAAGCCTAAAACATTTATTATCTGGCCCTTCACAGAAAAAGTTTGCCGATCCATTTGCCTGCATACTCCTGTTGGTAAATTTATTTCTTAGCACAATCCCCAAAATTATGTAAATGCTATAAATTACATATATGTATCACTTTACAAATATGGAATGTGTATGGTAAAATTTACACAAAAAATATGAATTAAAAAAAAAGGATGAGATGAAAAAGAGCCAGAATCAGGAGTTCTGAGGTTTTCTTCCTGCACCTTCAGTGGGAGATGTTGCCCATACCCCACTTTGAAGACCCCTGGTGGGGTCGATTCTCTCTTCACTTTTCAGAGAGGAAACTGTGTGTGGGGAGTGGGCGCTGGGGGAGCAACCAAGGAAACGTACTAAGGAAGGGCCACAGTTTGAGGCTCTGTGGTGTGGGTGTGTTGGGCTGGCTGCAGGGGTTGGAGAGGAAGTGGAACAAAGAGTGACAGGTAGAATAGTTCCCCCTCCCCCCTGCCCAGAGGAAAGTTGAAAAGCAGGACAGAGAGAAATCAGTCCTGTTGCAGGCAGGCCCAGGCCCTGAATCCCCTCCAGCCCTCAGGCCACTTGATTGGAACCTCCCTTCTCATTTCCTGTCACCAAGATCCTGCCCTGTGACTCTTCCAGTAGAAAAAGGGATGGAAAGGGATAGGAAAAGGAGGAGGGGCAAAGCCTTCTGAGAGCAGAGAGCCAAAGGAACTAGTGACCCTGTGCCCCTGAGGCCCCTGGCCACAGCCTGACCCAGTGCTGTCCATCTCAGGGCAGACCCCTTGGCCATCCACTCCCCACACATTCTGTGCTGCCTTCTGTCTTCCTTGGTATTCACTGTGCAAGGAGGGCAGGAGTTAACACTGGGCCAGGCAGGGCTTGATCATGAATAGCTGGGCTGGAGGTACAGGCCCCCGCTGGATCAGGAACACCTGAATCGTTTTGCTTCTGCTTGCTAAATGACCATTATTTACTTGGGCTGAGAGGACAGGCAGGGCAGCTGCAAAGCCCAGGATTGCGTTAGGGAGGGGTCTGGACTGGAGGCAGAGAGTGTTTCTCTTAAGAGTCTGGATCAAGACCAGCCCCCACCTGTCCCTGCTCTTTCTCTTCATGACCAAGCAGGGACCCACCCTCAAATGGCAAAAGACCTCCAGGAGAGCCTAATTCCAAGGCAGAGCTAGTCAGTCCTGGCCAGACTGAAGACCCACCTGTGCCAACTCCTGCTCCCACTGAGAAGGGCACCAGGGGTGGAGTTCTCACAGACACAGGGCCAATGTCCTGCTCTCAGGTCCTTAAGATAAGGGCAAAAGGTGACTCCCCAGCCCCACTCCTAGTGTCCTCCTGTCCACTGGCAGTGGGGGAGGGGAGGCGATCAGGGAAGGGGCACCTACTGAGGCCTATCTTTGTCACTTCTTAGCTCAGAAGGCAACCTATCCTTCTGACTTTTGTCCTCGGGGTGGGACAGGTCAGCTTCCCGTTGTTTATTTTCTGTTAATGAAAAGGGGCCTGACCACTGAAGCTGGTGACCAGGGAGGAAGGTGCTCATGTGGAGGTGGGTGGAGGACTGCACTGAGCCCTGAGGGATGGAGGGACAGGTATCCTGATGCTGGGGCCCAGCAACCCTGGGTGACCCCCAAAAAAAAAAGAAACAACCCACATTCCGACACACAGCAACAGCAACCCCATAGGGTTTCTGAGGCTGTAAATCTCTATGGAAGCAGACTGCCACATCTATCTCCTGCGGAGCTGCTAGTGGTTTTGAACTGCCGACCTTTCAGTTAGTAGTCGATTGCTTTAACCACTGTGCTACCAGGACTCCTTACCTGGGGGGACAGCCCTTTTTTTGGGTATCTGCACTAGTGATGGGGTAACAGGGAGCCCTGGGGAAGAGGGCATGTCTGGGCCCCAGCTCCTCCTCTGTGCCAAGGGCACAGGCCAGCTAAGGACCCAAGGCCTGGTTCTACCCCCCATCAGCATCCTGCAGACTCAGTCCTTAATCATGGGCTGCACCCCCCTCCCCCTGACCCCCAACTCATATGCCTCATCCCTCAGATCTGAGCCCTTCGCCTGACTCATATGACCTTGGATGAGAGTCCCTTCTCCCTCTGGGCCTCAGTTTCTTCATCCATAAAAATGGCCATGGTACGTACCATCTGCTCCCACATGGTCTTGAGGGTCCTGACCAGCTCTAGGAACCTAAGCAAACTCTAGAGCTGAAAGCAAGTGTGGACACACATGTATCTCCACAAGTGGCTGGTGGAATCGATCTCGCTCCTTAAAAAGTCACTATGCGTGGAAGGGTAAATATATAAAATTAGGGCCAGATGACCCAGGCGGACTGAGCTAGCAGTAACCTGAGTGCAAAGGAAACACACCCACTGATGCACACACCACCTGTTACGAAAATAATAATATTCTCTCCCTTGATCCTGACAATAATCCCCTAAAAAATAAGTCAGACATGCACACTTTAATTCCCATTTTACAGAAGAGGAAAATGAGGCTCAGAAGTTAAATACTTCCCAGGTAGAGGTTTCATTACTCAACAGCTGAGGATTGTAACACAGAGACAAAGTTACAGCCAGACAGGCCCCAGTTCATGCCTGTTGTTCTAGAATAAATATTAAGAGCACCCCCTTTTACTCTCAAAAGGGATGATAATCATAAAATCAACCTAATTTGAGAGAGGAGAACGCTGGGCATGTGAACCCAGGAGAGGCAGAGTAGGAGGATCAAAGGACTGACAGGCGTGAGCTAACGGTCCCTTCTACCTGAGCCCACCTGGGTAAAATGTCAATACTCTCAACTTCCTCACCCTCCCCTCCCCAGTAAATGTGGAAATGTGTTATTATTTTGCTGGTCAACCTAATGGCCTATTAAGCAAACAGGCACATTAGGGGGTGTTAGCACATCCAAAAGGTAAAGAAATATTTTCCAGACTGCAAGGGCCTGGCTGATCCCTGCTCTAAGCTCGGTAAAGTTCTGATCTTCTAAGAGCCTTGAATGAGGGGCAACAAGCCCAGAAATGAAGAAGAGCCTCGGCTTATCAACAGTCCCGGACCTCCGTGGAAGATACCATAATCTAACTGTGCCCATGAGACCCAAGTGCATGTGGGTCTGGGGACCCACAGATGGGAGGAGCAGACCCTGAAGGTCCTCACCCAGCCAGGCCCCTAGCTAGCTGGAACTCTAGGACAGCTAGGTGAGGGTCCATTCCAAAGCTAGAGAAACCGCATTTTCTCTGCTAGCTGCTGCTCTGAATGCCCTGCTCTCCTGGTTGTGGTGGAAAACAAAGGTCTGACTCTCCACACGTTGCTGCCCACATGATTCGACATCACAGCTAACAAGGGAACATCAGGCTTTGAATGGAATAATCAACTCACTAGCCACGATCTGTTTTTTATAACAATATCTTCCATTTGCCAGGGGCCTATTTTGTGCCCTGATATTGCTTATACTCATTTCCTCTTCTCAGCCAGTCCAGGAGCAACACATCATTATTATCCCCATTTACAGATGGGGAAGCCAAGGCTCAAGAGGTGGGTAAGTGGCGGTTACATCAGAATCCAGTTCTAACATCAGGTCCTTAGTTCTCAACCACCGCGCAATACTGCTCCCTATTAGAGACTAACAATATTTTATTTTTAAAACAAACTTAAATCTGTGCTCAACTTCATTAGTAATCAGAAAAATGCAAATCAATACCATAATGGGATACCAGATGCACGATCAAAATAGCTAAAATTAACAAGTTTGAGGATGTGAAGCAATAGTGGTGGGAGGGTAAACCAGTATAGCCTCTTTGGAGATTATTAGTTCAGCATTATCTGGTAAAGTTGAAGGAATGTACACTGTAAGATACAGCAATTCTACTCCACATAAGC